GACGTCGTTGGAATTTTGATTCGACAAGTTCAAAGTGATATGATTTGTTGAAATCAAATACCAGAGGAGGCGGGCGGCAAGAGCAACTATAAATTTAAACAGAAACGGTTGGACCAAAAGTAGTTTTTTTCTTCATTTTAAGTTTTAACTCACCATCCCTAATGCACCCATTCTTGGCCCTATAAAACACGAGACGAGCCCAACCCCATTTTCCAAGATGGGCCGAAATCGGAACTGTTGGCTCTCAAGAAAGTCAAACCACATGAGTCCATCCTTAATAAGTAATAACTAAAGAAATACTACAGTCCCGTTACGGAATTATTACGTCGAGGTTTATAACCGTTAGATCAACATTGATCTAACGGTTACAAACTCCGACGAAATGGTTTCGTAACGGGACTATAGCATCTCCCACATAACTTATATTGTTTGATTCAGAAAAAAAAAAAAAACATATATTGCAGTGGCGAAGCTACGTTCAGTGGCTGGGGTCGTCCGACACCGACGCTTTGCGTTGAACCACTTATACGTAACAAAATTTCACCGTGTAAGACCCCATTAAAAAAATAATAAGACCCCGACAGCAGGGGCGGATCTATATATGGGCGAGCCTGGGGTTTGTCCCGACCCCAGCAGCCAAAATTTCTGGCTTGGCCCTGATATATTGTCTGATGTCCTATCACTTTACGGAGTGATGATCAAATTAGCAGTAGTGCTTTATGAATCAGCTTTTACTAGTACTTGTTATTCATCTATACATCTTTGCTCACGTGTTTTGTAGCAGAATTGCAGTCACTTTTATTTTAATGCAACCAAAACAAATCAATCAAGAATCTGCAAAATGTTGTACAAATCTTGTTCTGTTTGTACAAGTGATGATCATTCTCAAAACCCACAAAACTTTAATAATAATGTCAAAAGACAAATGTTCACAAACAAACAAGACAAATCCTCACCAAATTTCACATAAAAATCATCATCACTACCAAACACAAAAATGAATTCAAAAATATAAGAATCTCGCGCGAGCCGGCTCCCGAACGAGGGGGGCTCGCCGAGGGACCTTGAGAGACAGTCGAGGCATTTTCACTCGAGCATGTGTAGTTACAACGACTGGGACGTACGATTCTGTACACGCCACTGTTTGTAAGAAGGTAAACATCCCGATTATTATCTTCTCCGAACGAGAAAATGTAGCTCAAAGAAGGAAGCGTGCTCCCGGGAGTGAACGTGCAGCGAATAGGCGAATCATGTGCGCAATTAAAACTAATTTGGGTGCTATTGAATCTTCCGCTGTTTGTTGGGGTTTCGGTTCCTGCCCATATAGCGCCCGCATAAAGATCGGCATACAAGTATCTACAAAAACGAGCAATATCTCACAAATTAGCTTCTTTTTCGCTACTTGTTCAACTTTCATATTCGATTTGGAATAACAGATTCTATTAATACCTTCCATGCATGCAAGGATCAGCCATGGATCTATAGAAGTAGCCACCAGTGATCGATGCTGAACCTTCGTTCGAGTTTACTTCAGAATGGTTATATCCCATAACAGGGAAAATCGGTCTTATTGAGCTGATTGAAGTATTTCCTCCAGGTGTCTGTGGAGGAGTATAAGGGTATGGGCCCTCAAAGGCCCGCCACCCGTAATTTCCATTCTTGGTTATCAAATCCACTTCTTCGTATCCATCCTGTTAAAATAATCACATCAACTAAAGGTTAAAACTTTTTCCAACTTTACGTTCAATAATCCGAAATTTTCGAAACACAGTTACCAGAGATCTTAATTAAGGTAAACGGCCAATGCTAAGGAAAATTATGTGTTGTCTCATTTTCTGTTACACTACCTGTCCGGTGTCTGCACATATAAAGTACGAAGGCCTTGCAGAATCGAAGCTACACCGCCAAGGATTTCGTAGGCCTAAAGCCCATATTTCTCTCTGCAAGTCTTTATCGATTGTGTAAGGGTTATCATTAGGAATCGAATAGTTACCCCACAAACCAAGCCGAGCAGCTTCAGTATCGCCTGAAACAAAAAATGTCCCAATGCAAAATGTGCTTATTGCATTTTTCAAACTACAAATAAATTATAAACATATTTTTTTCTATTAGCTATATAACTATAACTCACTTGGCAAGTTATCAACGTCAAATCTCATGATCTTGCCGAGTAAAGATTTTTTGTTCTGAGCAAAATTATACGGGTCTCCCACACCTCCACCGTCTCCCATCATGAAGTACAAATAACCGTCTTCTGGCCCGAAAAGAATCTGGCCTCCATGGTGGGCCGTAAAAGGTAGGCCTATAGTAAATATTCTTCTGACCTCCAAAGGGTTGGCGCTTGTAGCCTGCCATTGTCAAAAGAACATATCAGATTTTAACTTAAAAAAAAAATGAGAATTATTAATTTTGTGAGTTATGTATATACCGAGGAGGGTCTTGATGAGCTACCATTAACCGTATACTCAGCTACAACACTTTGATACTGGCAAGGCTGTGCCCCGTTATCAGGCCCGAGTCTCGCTGGATCACAGCCCACATCGGAATTGCACGCGCACCTGCCAGCACAGCCAGGCCACTTGGCTTTGTCACAATTGAACGAAACGAAAAAACGACCGTTTTGGACAAATTGTGGATGGAGTGCAATTCCCATCATCCCAAACTGAGTATCAAAATGGACCTCATCCGACAAATCAAGAAAAGGGTTCGACTCGTCAATCCCCAAAACCCCTCCCGAGCCCGGTTCGGGAATAGTCGCGAGCCAGATCTTGCCTTGCTGGTTCGAGAAAAAGGCCCGATTCGACCCGTCTGCATGGCCCACCATGTTGAGGTAAGACCCATTTCCAATTTTCTCCAGGCAAAGGTCACCGGGAGGAGTTGGGTTATCTGTGGTATTGTTAAGAACAATGGGTGAGCCAGAAAAACATGGTGACGTGTCGTTGGGTGAGCCGCCAAACGCGGCACAAAACTCTTCTTGAGTTCGCCAGGTGTCGGATAGTGTGGAGGAGTTGGAGCTTGCTGGGGTTCGTAAAGTGGGGGCAAATGGGGAATATGAAATGGAAATGTTGTGGCAAGTGTTCCATACTTGCGAACAGAAGCTGTTTGTGTTTTGGTTGGATTGGGTTGAGTTTGTTGGGTTCGACGAGTTACAGAGCACGGGAAGTTGACGAGGGGCAGAGTCGACTCTGAAAAGCTCGGCCGAAAACTGATCACATCTCTATAAATAATGATGGGACACAATTACTCATTACATACCATAAAGCTACAGACAAGTTATCAATATAGAAGAACAAAATCTCGGTTTCATATCGTGCATTTATCATGTTCATGTGACTGTCTTTGCTTGTGTTAATCGAAAATAGCATACAAGCTAGATTTCACTTGTCATCAAACACAATACATAACTACAACAATACCAAGAATATCAGGCTCTCTAATACATTGCATTAATGAGATTCCAATTACGGTACAACAAACGAGCAACAGTCGAGATTCAATCGCAGAATGATGCGAATTATGCGCAACTCAATGCAAGCAAACTACTTTTTTTTTATTTTTTTTTATCTTACCGAGCAAAGGATAGATCGAACAAGAGAGGCACAGTTGGGATCTGAAATATTCATAGACAAGAATTGATTTCTCAGATGGAAATCATCGGTATTATTGCAGCAAACGAAGCCATTGTAAGGACAGAACTGCAAAGGAGACCTCGGAGTAAAAGGTGCAGCTGCACAACAACATAAGGTTCGAAAAGGAGATGAATACACAAAACAGAATCAAACCAACTCACACACACACACACACACACTCTATAACAGCATTAACAAAATGTCAAAATCACAAACTTACTTGAATCAGAACATAAAGGCAATGAAAAACAGAAGTCAAGAAACTGCAGCAAGATCAAGCTATGAATAATCCATATAAAATGATTGCCTCTCATAGCTCCCAACACAACAAAGTCCCAACAAGAGACTCAAACCCCAACTTTTTCAAGAACCCAAAAATCACAAGATACTCAATAGGGACAAACAAAAATTGGACAACAAAAAAGCCAAATAGAACATTTTCAAGAACCCATGAAGAAAGACACCAAAAAACCCCACTTTTCAAACAAACGAAAAAAATTGTCCCAGAAAAAAAGGGAAGGCAAAACGATTTATATATTTCACAGACCAATCATCAGACATGAAGCCCCCTTCATCTCGATTGGTCTTCTCTTCCTCAAAGAAACTAAAAAACTAACAACTAAAAAGTGTAAAGCACAAAAAGCTCGGATCTTTATCCATCCAGCTAGATTAAATAATTTCTTGAAAAAAGATCCTGTCTTTTTCTCACACAAGAGGGTTTGACATTTTCCCTTGTGAACTGTGACATGGTGCCCCTCAACTTGCACAAATGGCAGTTCACAAGGTTTGACTTCACACATCATTAATGGTGTAAAATAGTGAAAATAATTGGGCAGTTGTAGAAGAAAACTGGTATGCTTTCTTTCAGCTTTCTCCCCCAGATAAACAATTTGAGGGACAGGGTTTTTGGACAATAATGTTCACTTATGCACGGTGAACACATGTTAATATGTCTATCGTTTATGTGTTATGCACACATTGGTGATGTTAATATGTTCAAAATAATGCATTACCAATATGTGCATGCCACATAATTAGCGGTGGTAGCATGTATCCACCGTGGGTAGCGGAGCATTATTCGATTTTTGGATAGCACCTTTTTTTTTTTTTTTTTTTTTTATTTCTTGGGGTGCATTTATTTTGTTGCACATGGATGATTTACAAATAAGACTTCTTTAAAGCTAACAAAAATAGCTGAGTGATCGATTTTTTCAAGAAGCACGAGAGATTAAATTTTCTATAAAATCATATTACTCCATGATATGTAGTAATATGGTATTGATTGAGTCTATTTTTCCAAGATAACAAATTACTATTTGAAATTAGAATTAAGCACATAGTTCTATATTTGAATATGATTACATTATAAATTTAGGTCGGCATTTTGTTATGTACATGCAAGCTATTTTATATAAATTAGCTATAATATACTTCAGTGTACACATGTTGAACTTTATAACGTATTAAATTTGTTTTTAGTTGCATGTGATGCCCCCACTATGCTTATTGATATGTGATAACTCCTACTTGCTCCTAGGTCGGTGGACCATATGGGCACATATGTGATTCAACTTTTTTAAACCATATTTTCTGAGCTATAACGTCATATTTATGAGACAAGATCTTTGTTATTTTTAAAGGTCAATTCTCTATACAAACTTTTTGTGTGGTGGGTTAGAAAGTTTATTATAATATAAGATGAATAAAGTGTTCAAATAACATGTTATTTTAAACATAAATAATAATACAATTTTTAAAAAATTGTCTAAAATTTTAAACATATATTTTTTTTAAAAAAAAAAAGAAAATAAAAAAAAAGAAAGAAAATTAAGTAGAATAACTTCACATGTAAAATTACAAAAGAGAACATAAAGATTGTGTTTATTTGATGACGCCTTTAGTTGTTAATGATACCACTATGCGTACATCTCACATAAATTAATCAAAATCGCAGTATAATTGAGATATATTTATGTATAAGAATTTCATTCCAACTAATTATAGTATAATTTAACAACTAGTTTTACTAACTATTTTTCTAAAATTTTAGATATATATGGGCAACTACTTAGATACACTATCATATATTTTAGTTCATCACATAATCTCCTAAAACAATGTCTCAAAGTTATAGAAACACCCAAACAATCTGAGAAATCTAGTGCAAAAAGTTCAAAGTTACATAAACATTTAAACAATTTGAGAAATCTAGTGAAAAATATTTTAGAAATACCCAAACAATTAGAGAAATTTAATAAAATAAAAAAAGAATGAAAATTGCAAATAAATGACGTATTTAGTTACTTAAATGTTCATGAAAAGTTTTGAGAATTGTTAATGTAGATTTTACTTACTTAGATGCAAATTTTAGTTACTTTGATTTTTTTTTATTTTTTTTTCCAATTATAATGAGATGTATTGCAATTGACTCACATTAAAATTTTTTAATTAGTGATGAATTGTTAGTAGCTTTGTTTATATGATGCAATCTTATTTACTCAATTAATAAATATTTTTTATATTTTAAATCTCTCTAATAAATATTAAAAATGTTAATTATTTTTATTTCTTAAATAATTATAAATTCAACACAAAAAAAAATGATAAATTATGATGATCTCCTTATAAATAATTTTACATTTAACAGCTAATGTTACAGTTAATGAGAGAGAGAGAGAGAGAGAGAGAGAGAGAGAGAGAGAGAGAGGAGTGCATTGAATTAGTCAGCAGGTTCAGATACAGTCAGTCAGTCAGAGATGAAAGAAACTTATGGAGATGAAAGAAACAAAGTCTGGCTAACATCAAGCTGCCATCTTCATAAATTCATGCAATAAACTTATGGAGATGAAAGAAACAAAGACACCGCAACAACATGGCTGAAATGTCAGATTCAATCCATTGTACTTAACAGGAGAGAGTGACTCTCGCAGTGAAAAGAAAGCCTGCAAGAAGTTACGAAAATTTCAAGAATAAACGGACATATATATATCTATGAGAATAATGGTACGCCTAATTATTTTGAACTCCCGAGCCACCATACCAAAACTCATCGTTTAATCCCATTGCTTCCAAGCATATCTAATGTTTTGAGGTAGCTCAACTATCTAGTGCACCAAGTGCTTTCATGTCCTCAAGGAATGCCATATACGAGTCATCAATACTCGGTGGTTTTGGTGCAGAGGACGAGCTAGTTATATCTTGCTTCACGATGGGTGAAGCTGATATAATAGGCCGGTTGGAAGGCAAAACTGTTGTAGAGGCTTTTGACTTTGGTTTTGGGAGAGCCGACTCCCTCCTCACCCGTACAGATGCAGGAACCTGCCAAAAAAAAAAGGTTTCACTACTATTATGAGGTTTGAAGATAGGGGATAATCAATTAGTTTCAAAAGTACTTATTTTGGCATGGTGGGAGAAAAAAAAAAAAAAAACTTTGTTTAGTTACTAAGATGTCTCACTCTTCATGCTTTGTTTACGAAAATAAACCCCGTTGAGGATAGTAAAGCTCAAATGAAGGGTTAACTAGAAACATGATCCTTGTGGTCTAATGCAATTACAAGAAAAAACTTAGCTAGCTTAGGAAGTCACAAGTACCATGGCATCCTTGCTGACAGTTGCATCAATTTTGAAAAAATGATGCATATAATTAGATTTCATCAGCAAACACCATCAAGACATCAATGGTTAAGGGTCTTGTGGCACTACATATGAGAGAATCAAACTGAAGGGTGGTTCTTGTAATTTCCAGAACAGCTAGCTTTCTTGCAATTATCACAAAATGTCCAAGTGGATATTTATAATTAAAAAAAAAAAAGAGTTCCCGTAATTAAGCTGGAAAACAGGGTTACTTTTGCATTAACTCCAAAATATACAAATGCAGGAGCAGATAAACTCACCATTGCTGTAAGTTCCGGAGTATGCTGTGCCAGAGGCCTCTTTACAACAGTCGATGCAGCTGACTTGACATATGATGGCTTCGGAGGCACAAACGGTCTAGCCATGAGGTCATCCTGTGGAATGGGAGGTGGGCCCAGTGGAAGTGGTGGCCTCATCATCAAAGGAGGTGGCCCAAAAGGCGGTGGTCTAGGAAGAAGTGGCATCACAACTCCAGGTGGCGCAACAGGTTGCCCGGCAATCCCAGGTGCAGACAATGAGGGCACCATATCGCTTGGAGGTCGAGGTGGGGGTGGAGGCAGAAAGCCGGGAATGCCATGAGGAAGCATATTGGGCTGCAAATTTGGGCCCACCTGCCCAGGTACTGGCGGATCTTGCCTCATCTGTGGTGGCGGAGGTGGTAAGGCCGTTTTCAGACTATCGTTGGCATTGGAGGAAGGTTTCGAGTCAGATTCAAAGGATGAGATGTCTGGCTGATTATTGCCCAATTTTGGAGGCTGACCCACCAGTGGGGGAGGTGGAGGAAGATTTGCAGGTATCTAAGACAATATAACCATGAAGCAGTTATCAGCTAAAAATTATGTTCTATATGAATCAGATTATGCAGATAATTGGGCATATAAATTACATTCAGATAATTACGTATACAAATTACACTTGCTGGAGGAATTAAGCAAAACCGGTTCTCACTAAATTACACTTGCTGGAGGAATTGTGCAAAAAATATATCCTCATCAATATTACAAATAACCCCAAGATGCATATCTATAAAGGTCAAAAAAAGAAAAATAAATCATAGACCTTAAGCGAATATCTATAAAGGTCAATAAAATATAAGGGCAAACTACCGACTATCGTCGAGTTTGAACTATCCTTAGAATTGCAAAAAGGCTTCACAAAATAAAAAATAAAAAGGTTTGGCTTGGGCTTAATTTTAAGAGGGATTCACAATATATCAATAATTGCAACTGGGTTTATAAAACTTCATCACGAAGTTAAAAATGAGATCTAACGAAAGTTGAAGGTTCTTTTTCTTGTAACAATTGAAACTTCTTTTTTTCTTTACGTAATTACTCAAAACTCGGGTTAGTTTTTTGTGAATATTCCTAAGATACGGTAAGATAATTTGTAATTAAGCTGACAGATACTTTTCTTTATTATCTTTGTAGTTATGGAAGTACATATTCAAAAGAAAAACAAACACCTGAATCGAGTCCCTTGATGGGAGTTCATCTGTATTTGCAGGTTTCTCGCCATTAAAAGTACCAGGAGGAGGTGGCTGGGAGGATTGGTGGATAGGCAGAGGTGGAGGAAGTGGGGGACGAGCAGCAAGTAGTTCTTTAGGCGGTGGGCCAGGAGGTGGAGGCGGGGGAGGCAATGGCGGCAGAGGTAATGAATTATTATTACCAGCCACTGGTGGATTTGGAGGCACTGGTGGTGGAGGCGGCAAAGGTAACGACACGGGCAAAGTAGAGCTGTCCCCAGAATCTAAGCCTCCACCCGACAAAGGAGGTAGTGGAGGTGGACCAGGTGGTAATGGAGGCATAGGCAAAGTAGCATCCTCAAATTCCGATTTTGATGATGATGCAACGTTACTGCTGGAAGTTTCTGGTAAGGGTATTCTAGGTCCTGGAAAAAAAAACAAGGTGAATAAATATAACGAGAAAGGACAATGTAAGGACATAATCATATAAGCATATCTTTTTGGAACATGGAATTGAAAAGGATTAATGAAACCTATTGATGACTTGAACATCGGAGGCTTTCCAGGTGGCGGAGCTCCAGAAGGATTCAGAGTGGGGTGATAATAGACCGAGTCCTGCATGGTATAAATTGTTGAATGTGTATTGACAGATGAGTGGAGTTAAATATAATGAAAAGATCCAAGCCAAGATGAACTTACTTCAGGACTGGGATTATTGACTCTTTCTTCTTCTTCTGCAGTACCTCGCCTCCGCACAGGTCCCAAATGACTGCAGAAAGGGTAACACCACTGAACTTCAGAATTGACAATTTAATATGAGCATCTATACCTCAATGGAGTACAAAAAATGTATCTATTTTACGGAAGAACCAGGTTAGGCAGCTTCACCTGAACATAACTGGTGCTTCACCCTTTTCTTTCATTTTATCTTCATATTCCTTTACCAGACAACGAAAGGAGACCGTTAACAATATCATAATATAAAATCGATAAAAAATAAAATAAAACGTGTTTAGACAATCATGAATCGTTTGTCTATTAATTATAGTATCTCTTTCAAAGTAATTGACGCCTATCAGCAACGACAACTATGAAAGGCATAGGATGTGTTATCTAAGAAATCTCAAAACATAATTCCCAAAATATATCTCCACATGGCCCTAACAGGCCTTATTGAACATAAAACATGAAAGAGTCCACCATGGCACATCTACCTCACTTGCCTTCCCACTGCGCTCTGACATTCAACTGAGTAGATGCTATTTTTTTAAGATAAATTTATTAAATACAAAATGTTAGCAATGATGCTTACAAGTCTAATAACTGGTGGAAGGAAATATAATCTTAAGCTACTGAAACAATGATAATAAGATATTCAAATGGTTTAAATTAAGCAATTACCTTCCGCTTCTTCATCACAAGATTTAGCGTATCCTCAAGTTGTCTCTTTTTGTGTTTTCTTGCTTTGTCCAGAGCACCATCCGCCTCTGCAAGGATTAAAGAACGAAGATAAAGATGCAAGCCCATCTATGCAAACACATAACCACTGCAGAGAGTCATAGATCTAAGAACAAAGTGACTGAATACAATTCGCATCATAAAGCACGACAGCAGTTTAGAAGTTATCCGAAACATAGATATAGAAGTGTCTAGTAACAGGAAGGGTAGATATTAAAGAGTTAACTTTAACCTAAAAATTACAGAAACAATATACAGCTGCGTCTGCAGTCTACCATAATCAAAACTCACATGCACGCTGGTTTCTTTTTCAATACGTAACAGCAGAAAGAGCAAGATTTGTGAAGATGTATGTACTAAGTAATGTCGAAAAAATAACTCCTCCCGCCTTCCAGCCCTTACTCCCTCACATTAATGAGCAAGAATTCAATCACAAACTGTTAGATACAAGTTTTTCTCTATCATTCAAAATTGGCCTTCTCATGAAACTTTATATCATAAATCATCAGTGTGCCCTATAGGAGGGTAGAATAGCAACGTTCAATTAGCTGACCCACAATCTGAATAGCTGCTTTATATGCTGCACCATGTACCAAGTAATTACCATCTACACAAAATAAATGCTTTTTTTACTCATCAGAACTTACTCATTGCTTCCAGCTTCTGAATCTGGTCTTTCAATGTATCGGGATCCTTTTTCAAGATTCCAACCTCCCTCACCTTCTTCCGCTCCTTCTTATTCTGAAGAATTGACAATACACCCATTTCTGAGGCTTTAGATTGAACAACAATATTTCATATACTGCTGCTGACCATCTAAATTTTTCAACGGCATCAACCAAATAGCATAATTTGCTCACATTTTCATACAAGACATCTTTGAAGCAGCCAAACAATTAAAAACAAATAAAGAAATAAACCCTGACAATCAGCTTCACCTAATGCCCAAGAGCCAATACATGCCCAATTTTGACTTCAGCAGGAGAACAATCCACAATCTTGACTTCGGCAAGAAAACACTCCACATGGCAAAACTCAAACGTTAAAACCAAAATGCATGCACATAAATAAGAGAAATCCGATACTATATCCTGAAAAAAACTTCCAATGGCACAAGTTATCCTAAACGGTCCACATAATAAACCAAAATACTGCTGCTAACCACCTGAACCTTTCAATGGCGATTAATAGAATAGCAATAATTTGTTGTCTTGTACTGAGCAAATTGCTCAAATTTTCATACGAAACATCTTTAAAACGGCCAAACAACTGAACAAAAAAAATGATAATCAGCTTCACCAAATGCCCAATTTTGATTCTTTCGCCACGTCTGCGAATTTCCTCGCCGCCTCAATAAATTCCTTGACTGAACGAAGCGAAGCGAAGTGAGACTTCAGCAGGAAACCATTTCACAGTGCAAAACATAAACTCCATAACCAAATGAGCTAGCACTCAATAATAACATGTTCATAGATAAGCGAAATCCGACACTAATTCACTAATCCTGACCCAGAAAAAAAAAAAAAAAAAATCAATGGCACAAGCAATCCTATATGATCCACATAATAAACCATTATACACAAACGCAAACTGAAACTCATCAGAAAACGATGAAATAATGCAAGTTTTACCCGCTTCAATTCCTTTTTTCGGAGCTCCTTGCGGTAGGCATCAGTAGGGTTCATGGTTTTCCCACCCTTCGTCGTCTTCACCATTGTTACAACTTCTGAATGATTTGATATCCAATTTCGTTTTCCTGATTCTTTTCTTCTTCTATTGTCCCTCGTGAGGAGCTTCAAACGACGTCGTGGGCGAGCGATGCAGGAATTCGATTGTTTTTCTCTGCAGAGGACTGCGGAGGATGGGGAGTGTTCTATTTTATTTGGGCATTCGATATTTTGTGGTTCCGGGTCGGGGCTCTGACGGGTAGCGGTTTTGTCTTATCGGATTCGTAAGTGGGTAGGGTCACTTTATTTTTCAATTTTAAGTTATGTTTGGTATATATGATAAGTGAATTTCAAGCTTAAAATTAACAGTTTATGCTTGGTTGTTGAAAAATTAGTTGATTGGTAAAGTTGGTTAATAAATCAGATGAAACAAAAATCTCAACGGGTTTTTATAGTTTTGCTATGAAATTATCGGATAGCACGGTTTATGGAGCTATCTAACTATAGTCCTCCACAAATAGTGTACTGACACGTGTCATGCAATAAATACACAATTGACATGTGTCAATACATAAAATTATAAATTGTTTCGTAAGGAAATTATCTAATGGCTCTGTAGCGTTCGTGTTATAACCCATTCCCATAAAAGTTCGTTATTAGCCTGTCCAAAAAAAAAAAAAAAATGAACTTGCCAAAAATTCACGCATGTCATTCTCATCCTTATCGTATGAGGTCGAACTTAGTAATTTAGGACAAACGTGGAATTTAAAGTCTAACTGCATTGTTTATTTAAATAATATAATATTATAATTGAAGGTGAAATGCTAAATAAAAATTGAGAATAAAATGCATGTCTATATGCAAGCTGAAATTAACAACAAATTAAAACAAAGTGCGATATAGTAAAGATTTAGTGTAACCCAATAAGACATTAATTAACGTAACAAAAAGTTTGCATATCAATTTCGGACAATCGATATGCTGGAAAATTGATTTTTTTTTTTTTTTCCTTAAAAAATGTTGAACAAAAAGATAAATGAATTGCTTGATTCACGCTATAACAACTGTTGGTGTTGTGGCCCAAATGATATTTTGTTGATGGCCCAATATCCTAACAATATCCGGCCCAATTTCTTTGGCCTGAGCCCGGTTTTGGCAGCCCACATGTTTCTTTTAATATTACCTAGTGAGCTAATTAGATAATGACCTACAAAAATCAATTCCCTTTGTTTTATAAAAACGTGCTCACTTGTCCAATTGATCGGTTCTTGTCGGCTATTCGGTGACTCATTTTGTGGGTTTGACAAGAAGGGGACTGAGCCTGTTCGAATTTAAACTCATCTTCGTGGAATTCGGGCCCACGTGCGAGAACTCGAGAAGGGTGTATTCTTTCCTATTATGCTTTAATTATTTTTCAGCATGCTGAAATTTGATTATCTATTGTGCATTTTCGGTTTCACCTTGAAGCGGACAAACCGGGACGAGTTTGGGTCGAGTTCGGGTCAGAAAAGTTGCTGTCCGGTGCCTAACAGACGCTGCTGGGACCTGCAGGTTGCTGTCGGGGCCTTCCGGGTGCTGCTGGGACGAACCAGAGGATGTTCGGGACTGTTCGGGGCCAACCCGGGCCCGGCGAGTCGAGCCAGACGACCACCCAACAACAACTATAAACTCAACCAATGAAATTGGTAAATGAATTGTCAAATGGATGTTGTGCCCTATGAAGAGAGAAACAAAGTTTACCCTTCAATTTTGAACGACCAAGTTTACGGGGTAATCGTTCTTTGATATTTATTTTGAATTTTTAAGGGTTAAATATACATTATGTGTATTCATTCCAAATTTTTAGGGTCTTTTAAATCTTTTAAGATTCATATTGTATTCAGTTTGTTTTCTTTTTTATTTGTAGAGGTCTTGAGATATTATTTTAAAACTTTTAAGTGGTTTTTTTTAAAGTACTTATATATTCAAATGATTTATCACTTAACAATATTTAAATTTTTAAAAATTTACAACATTTTAAAGACGAAACACACGCGTGCACTCACACACAAACACACACATATATATATATAGGAAGTTCCATAACAAATCTCACTACCAGACATATGTCATTATTACTTATAAATTATCTGGTCACTCTTGGCTAGATAATATTTTTAATTCAAAATCTAACTCAAACTTAAATCAAACCAATCATTCTCAACGTTATAAATCTAATAAAATAAGGTCATTTCATCATTCTCACACTTCACATGATTTCTAATTCATTATTCATTAATTAACATAATTAAACTGACATCACTTCAAATCACATCTCTCCTACTTTTACATAAAAACAACTTTAATCATTATATTTAAAATACTATTTTAATACAAAATCGAAATCACATTTAATCATAACACAATCAGCTTTTCAAAAATAACTTTTGTTATCAAATAAGTCCAGTCAAATTAAAAAACACCTTATATCCAATCATCCCTTTAAGATTTCTAGAAGACTCAAACTTAATTAATTAATTAAAAAATATCAAATTTAAAAAAAAAAAAAAATCATTTAAGAAGCCACTTAAATAGTTTCAAATTTTAGAAAATGTTGAAATATCCATTAAAGTTTCAAATGAATACCACAAACTATTGGGTGAGACAAAAAAATGCATACTTACACTATCAAATGTCATACTTTCTAGTTAATCGTTTGAATGATCGATTCTTTTTGGTGGTATCAGCGTTGTGATCGTTGGTAGTTGGAGAGGGCTTTAGTCTTACTATTTTTGTTGTTTTGATTTTTATTGTATAGTTTGATTGACTCCTAAGGCTTTTGTTAGTGTTGGTGTTTGTTGTTTGTGTCTTTAATTTTGTTAGGGTCAATCTTTTGTATTTTTTAATTCCACCGTGTGCGGGTAACAGAAGATGATCTAGTTCCGTCATGTGCGGATTTTCTTATGCGTGGTGCGAACTTGACTTTTTATAATGTATTTTTTTGTGTTCGGATTTTTATAGGGTCTATCTTTTCTATTTGGCATATCCTTGTTCAATTTGAGCTTGTATTGATGTCAGTTGACACCAGACTTTATAATTAGTTTCTTTTTTTAGTTTTATAAAATTGCTATCGTTCAATACAAATATTCTACAACTTACACATCATTGGTTAAAATGTTATTAAAAAAAAGATGTGTGTTAAAAAAAATAATGTTACAGAAAATTTCTAAGGCTATGTTTGATAGGCAGATAAGCTAGCTTATAGCTTACTTGGTTAGCTTATAAGCTCTCTGTATTCAAATAAATCTCGTTTGGTATGATGAACTTTTTTAAAAAGCTCGAGCTTATTTGATAAGCTTGTTGAACTTTTTAGGCTATGTTTGGTAAAATTAGCTGATAAGCTAGCTGATAGCTGATAAGCTAGCTTATAGCTTATATGTAATTTTTGAGCTTATAGCTTATAGCTTATGACTTATAGCTGAAAAGCTAGCTTATATGATAAAAGGTGTTTGGTAAATTAGCTGATAAGCTAGCTGAAATAAAAAAAATTCAACTAGCTTATTTGAAAAGTTACCTAAAGTAGCTTATGAAATAAGCTCGAGCGTTTTAAAAAAGCCCGTCCTACCAAACGAGACTTATTTTAAACAGGGAGCTTATAAGCTAACCAAATAAGTAAAAGCTAGCTTATTTGACTTACCAAACATACCCTTAATCCAACTAGCTTATCAGTTAATTTTACCAAACACTTTTATTAAATAAGCTAGCTTTTCAGTTATAAGTCATAACCTATAAGCCATAAACTCGATTATTACTACAAGCTTTAAATTAATTTATCATCTAATTTTACCAAACATAGCCTAAATATAAGTCGAATTTGTGTTGTTTACATGCTCGTTCAAAAGGTTTGTACCATCCTACCAACGCATTCAGAGCAAAAAGGATATTGTGTGACGATGTCTACGCTACGTCCAAAGACCCATCTCATTGACCTAAGAGTATCTACAATGCATTAGGTCTAGTTTTGCATTGTGATATGTTAATAAACCCAAGTCTTGGATGACATTGATAAAACTATGTAAAATTAATAAAATCCACTATAATGCAAAGAGATTAGGTCTTACTTAGGTCTAAAATGGACTTAATGGTAGATTGAGTCTCCTTTTTTGGCTGCCACATCAGTAGGACCCAGTCTATTTTTTTTGAATTGGAAGATATATCATTTTAGACAGTATATTTTTTTTAGGTGGCATATAATTTTTTGTGATTGAACCCAAAATATTGTGGATGCTCTAATTGGACGTACCAAATATCTACAAACGTGTCGGCATTCTATTGGTCCACTGGGCTCTCACCTTCAACGAGCCAAACAGGGAAAAAACATGAGGCTACGGCGCCATTCACCCGTTAGGTACAACGTCTAAATCACAACTTATTTTTTTCAAACATCTTTTTTAAAAATAAAAAAATCAGTTCAAAATTACTGTTTTAGTTTCAAACAGATGAGAGGCGGCCATTAATTCGAGCTGAGCCTGCAATGGTGGAGCTTCCCTCTTTCCTCGCCGTTGACGAGAGGTGTCGGCGGCGGCTGTGGCGGCGCGTCGATTAATGGCCGGCGAGGAGTCCGGGATGGAGGAGGAGGAGGAGGAATGGCTGGCCGTGACTTCGGTCTCCGGAGCTAGGCTGTCTGATGCGCCTGTGCTTTTCTTCGTAACCACTCACAAAGCTTTCCGGGAGGAGCTCGCGTCTGTCCGCCGGGCGGCGGAGGAGGCCGTTGGGAGCGGGGACGCGTGCCGGGAGTTAGTGGCTGAGCTCGGTCGGAGGTTGGAGTTCCTGAAGCTTGTTTATAGTTATCACTCCGCAGCCGAGGATGAGGTTAGGTTTACTTGGAAATTAATGAATCGTTTGTATTTATGGACTTGCTGTTTTCCTGAATCTGAGCTATTCTGTAGTTTGAAGTGTTTGGTTTGTTGGTTGGTCTATGGTTTTCTTCGAATAAAATTAACAATTTTGGGGCTACTAACAACCGTTTGTGGAATTTCACTGTGTATGTACTTGGGCAACGGAGCTGTTAAACTAAACGAGCTGCTTGTGAGCTCGGCTCGGGTCTTCTTGTTCGATAAACAAGTAGAGCTTGAGCCCATTTAGTTCGGCTCGGCTAGTTAGACTTGACAAATAGTTAGTTTTTTTTTTTCATAGTTTCCTGAATTATACGTGCCGAGCTCGAGCTCATTCATCGGCTCGTTAACTTAACAAGGTCGGATCGGCTTGTTTGCAGCTCTATGGACAACTCAAAAAATGAGTTTAAAATTTCAATTTATAACCTTGGCGATAATGATTTAAAAGTTTACAAAACTTAATTTGTTAATCGGACAGGTAGTCTTTCTAGCATTAGATGCAGTAGTAAAGAACGTGGTGTCGACGTATGCTTTGGAACACAAGTCTATTGATGATACATTCAGCTCCATCTTCCATCGATTGGATCTTTTAATGAATGAAGATGATGATACTCCTCAAATGTTTCGAGACCTTCTTTTTTCTATTGGCACCCTCCAGACAATGATTTGTCAGCATATGCATAAAGAAGAGGAACAGGTACCTAACAAATACGTTGACTTTTTGTTTGATGTTATCCCTGTAGGATCAAGCTCATGAACACATTATCCTCTTGAACAAGTTGATATAACTTTTTCCCTAGTCCAGGTATTATATTTTAAGGCTCTTATGTATATAATAGTCCAAGTTCTCTAGAGTCCTTATTTAATCCCAAAAATGTTGTAGTAACTTTATTTGAGAGGTGTGTCCTAAAATTAATTTTAACTAAACACTCGAACATATGTCAAAAATGATGACCAAGAAATCTGTTTAATTTCAAGATCAAACCGTAGTTCAACAATTTTGGTTTTAATTTTCTTTGCTGCTAAATGAAGTATCCTACAAATCAGTTTGCTCGTGTGGGATAGGTTACATTACTATAAAACACTATTGGCACTTGCTCTTGATGCCTGATTACTTGCCCAAATATCCAGTCTAATTAAACTGAGGTTTCTTTCCTATTATATTCTATTGAATGTTCGTGTAAATGCAGGTTTTTCCTTCACTTACAGAGCATTTTACTTCCGAAGACCAATCTAAGCTTGTCTGGCAGTACATGTGCAGTGTTCCTATGATACTGCTAGAGGAGTTTATTTCATGGATGACTCTTTTTCTTACATCAGAAGAAAAACAAGATGTTCTAGATTGCATAGAACTTATCATACCTAAAGAAACAAAACTTCAAGAGGTAGGCCATAAGTTAAAAGTTTAAATCGATGAATTTAATTTTCTCGAGTTAACTGTTGTGTGATTTTGTAGGTAGTTGCTTCCTGGATTCAACATGAGGGGAGAGCTTCTCAGATCATTAATAGATATGGAAAAGGGTACCAACTGTTAAATGGACTGTCTGGTTTCAAGGATATCGATGAATTTTATCCACCTCCGTTTGGCTGTGAACGGAATGAACAACTCAAGAGTGCATGTTCCTCGGAATCAAGTGGTTTTGAGGGCCCCGTCAAGGGCATCTATATTTGGCATGCTACTCTCACTAGCGGTTTCAATCAAATTATCGAGGAATTATATCAAATAAGAAGTTCAAACTGCCTGTCAAGCTTATCATCAGTCATTTTTCAGATAAAATTTATTATCGATGTTCTGATCTTCTACAGGTAACCTCCATGATTGAAGAACTATTCTATTTTAACTACCATATAATTGAGGTTGGATTATACCCTCTGTTCTTATAGTGATGCAATGGACCTACACTATCATCAACCTGTCCTATGGCATTCTCTTGTATCCAGTCATCAGGTCTAGAAACAGTTCCATGACTGAGATGGATAAGATGCCTATAGTGGAATGATATACCACTTTAAATTGTCTTTATCCATGGCCGGGAACACTAACAGACACCATACGTTTGGGCAATGGATGATGCATCCTAATTCTTTGCTTGAGTAAACGGAGAGGCTTCTGATAACTTAAGCATGTCACATTTGATGTCTGTTGACATTTTGATCTGTCTTTTGATTGCAGCAACTCTTTGGACAAATTTGTCCACCAATTACTAAGGCTTCTTCCCAAGAACACCCCATCCTTTTGCGCTCCACTCATTGATGAATACCAGATCAAAGGTCTTCAATGGTTGCTGTTTCGTGAACATCAAGGTTCAGAGCAACGAAGAAGCTTCATAGAGCTGCTTTGTCAGGAGCTGGAATCTCTCATGAAGGGGCTTGCCAAGGACCTGATTTTTCTTGACACGGAGGTAGAATTTGCATTTTTTCTTTCTAGATTAAAAAGAATAATTTCAGAAACAGTTTAAATAAGCGTAATTAGTAGGCTGTATGTTCACAGTTATCCCATTGTCAAGTACAGTTGTCTATAAAACGAACTACACTAAAAAATTGGATATTGCATAAATATTGAAATGCATTTTATGGTATTTCAACACAATACAAACTATGACACCAATTAGATGACTGTATAATTGATTTCTCAAAAAATGTTCTGATCATAGTCTGTTCAACAATATATCTGAGAATTACGTAGTTGTTCATGTTTAAGCGGTTACATCGTCTTTACTTTTTCGACACTCACATTTTCATCCACATGCGAATGCATGCATATTCATTTTTTTTTTTATTTTTTTTCTTTTTCCTTTTAGCTTTTTATCTATTAGAAGTTAGGTTTGTTGACTTAGTAACTTTATTATTCAGTTTCTTCCAGGTTTTTCCATCCATTAATGAGAGCTGTGCATATGAAATGCAGCTATGGTTAATATACACAACCCTTCACACGATGCCTTTTGGATTGCTAAAGTGCACTATCACTTGGTTCTCAGCTCACTTAAGTGATACCCAGTCCAATGTAATCCTAAAATGCTTGAAACTGGGATGTCCTTCGGTAAATGAGTCTTTTACCTCTCTACTACATGAATGGGTTCATATAGGCTGTTCAGAAAAAATATCCAGTGAAAAATTCAGACAAAATTTGGAAGAGACATTTAATGGTAGAAGCTTTTACTTGACCAAGCAAAATGAGCTCGAAATAAACTCAGCAATAACGATGAAGAAAAGTGTGGATATGCCCTCATCTTCTGATTCTGTAAATACTAATGAACATGATATCTTTTGTCCTAGTGGCATGAACCTTCACAAATTCTCCCAAATGTTTAAACGGCCACCACCCATGCATCAGAATCTTGTAACTTTTCAGACTCTTGAGTCCAGACCAATGAACCTGGTCTTCTATATACATAGAGCTCTCATTAAAGATATGGAGTATCTCATCAGCTTATCTGCCAAGCTCGCGACAAATTTTGGAGATCTTGCCGAGTTTAAGAACCGGTTCGGAGTTCTCAATAAATTCTATCAACTTCACAGCAACTCGGAAGATGAATTTGCATTTCCCGCTCTGGAATCAAAGGGAGAACTTAAAAACATAAGCCGTTCCTACTGCATCGACCATAAGTTGGACTCTATACATTTCAGGAGAACTTCCTTGATCCTGAATCAATTATCTGAACTGCCTGATAATGAGGCGGGTAGTGAAACTAGTGGAAAGAAGTATCAGTTGTGTTTAAAGCTCCATGAAACATGCTTGTCCATGCATAAAGTGCTATCCGACCATATCCACCATGAAGAAGTTGAAATTTTTCCATTGTTCAGAGGATGCTTCTCGACTGAGGAAGAAGAAAAAGTTGTGGGCCACATGCTAGGGATGATGAAAGCAGAAATTCTGCAAGAAAAGATCCCCTGGTTAATGGCACATCTGAACTTTGAAGATCAGAATACCATGATTTCCTTATGGCTGAATGTTGCGCGATATACAAAGTTTAATGAATGGCTACATGAGTGGTGGGACGGTATGACGAGATATAATAACATATCTGAAGCGGAAAAGAGATCAGGGCCGTCTCCTTTATTGGCTGCTGACCCTTTGGAAGTTGTTTTGAGGTATCTATCAATGGATGACATTCAAAGTCTAGAAGGTGGTCATGATAATAGGACACGAAAGGAATTTGCCTCTGTCGATGGTAGGCTTTCTGGCGCTTGCAATACTGATGAGTCAAAGTTTGTCAATGGAGGTCATGTATGCCAACCTGAAGGTATAAGTCAAAATCAGGGTGAGGTTGATGAGAAGAGATCTAAGGAAGCAAGTGAGAGCTGCCAACAATGTCAGAAGTTGGGCCACAAAGGGCACCCTCTCGGTATGGATCAGGAGGATCTTGAAACTATGATAAGAAGAGTATCTTGTGACTCTAGTTTAGATCTCCAGAAGAAATCGTATATAATCCAGAATTTGCTAATGAGGTAACAAGAAACTTAGTACTTCAATTCATTTTTGAATATTCTGTTGAGGTCTATAAAATTTTGCAGGAAACTACTAGGCTACTATATCGGTAAATTCATAATTCAAGTGGAGGTAATAACATTAATTTTCTTGTCTTATGAACGATAGCGCTGATTCATTTCCTAAGCAAAGTTAATTAGTCTCTCGGCTGTCATTTGTTGTTTATGGATGCCTGTCCTTAGGATTGACACCATATTTTGTTTTTTTCTTAATTACAGTCGTTGGCTTATAAAGCAAAAGATGTCTCATGAGGAGGATTCTGTGGCAATTCACGAGGGAGAAATTCCAGGTCAAAGTCCATCTTATCGAGATTCTCTCAAGTTACCTTTTGGCTGCGTACATTATAAGAGGAATTGTAAGCTTTTTGCTCCATGCTGCAATAAGCTTTACACATGCATACGTTGTCATGATGACCTGGCTGATCATTCCGTGGACCGGTTAGTCGGACTTTCATGAATTTAGGTTGCTGCTCAAATAATGTTTTAAATTTGTTTCTTTTGAAATGCATACCCATTCTTGATATTCTTTCTGCAGCAAAACTATAACACAAATGATGTGCATGAAATGCTTGGTAATTCAGCCAATAGGGCCGACATGTATTTCCAAATCTTGCACTGGTTTCTCCATGGGGAGATACTATTGCAGGATCTGCAAATTGTTCGATGATGAACGGTTAGTTGACCACGTTGATCAGATTTTTGAATTATTAGCATCTTGTCTTTGCAGCATCATGCAATTAGCTAGTGATGGATAAAAAGGCTCTTTAGAGTTAATGTTTTAAGTTGCAGTATCTGACAAAGAAACTTTTGACAGGCAAATATATCATTGCCCTTACTGCAATCTGTGCCGAGTTGGGAAAGGTCTGGGCATTGATTACTTCCACTGCATGAAGTGCAATGCATGTATGTCAAGGGCTCTACTTGTGCATGTATGTAGAGAGAAATGCCTTGAGGATAACTGCCCGATTTGCCATGAGTACATCTTCACGTCGAACTCTCCTGTGAAGGCACTACCATGTGGGCATTTAATGCATTCATCTTGTTTTAAGGTATCTCGCCTTTTAGATTTTTATCTTGACCATATTTCATAAAATAAAAGGTTGAATTGTTGACATGATTTTTTTCTTTTATCCTGCTATTTAGGACTACACTTTTTCACACTACATTTGCCCAATCTGTAGCAAGTCACTAGGGGACATGCAGGTTAGTTCATATCCTTTTACTTAATATGCTCATCAGCTAACAGCTCCAGTCTTTCTTTGTTAAGTTGACATGCTATTTCATATATTTGTGATTGCAAGTGCATTTTCATTTCAGTCTTCACCAGCAAAGCAAATGTTATTTATATACGGTGGACGAGCCTCAGGCTTACTCATTATACGATCTGATAAGGCCTCAACGGTTACAAGCTCATTCTATCTAATGAACATTTTCACAATTTCTCTGACGTTAGCTGCCCCTGTCTACACCTGTTCAGCAAGTCATTATTATTATTTTTATCTGAGAGATGTTATTAACATCATCAACCACTGAGTACATTCTCCAGTTTCAAAATTGATACATAAGTATGACTCATGGAATGCAGCTAATCTCAGTAAAGAATCAATACATCTTAACATGAAGCAAGTGAAACAAGTGTTCTAACAGGATTAAAACATTGGCTCAAGTGAATGAGCAGATTAACTGCTAAAAGAGTTCATGAAATCCGAATGTTGCATTTTCAGGCTTTAACAGATGTGATTTTAGTAAGTTGGATTCAGCTTTCCGAGAGCAAAACATTAGTGGATGGCACTTTGAATAATTCAGGAAGTACCAAACCTTCTAATTAGGAAAATCAGCTAGAATTTTTCTACTTATTCTTAGCTGTTAACACTGCTTAGTTTAATTTATGTTACCAAGTTCAAAACATTTTATCTTCTTTGCTTCTCTTTGTAGCCATTTCGTTATTGTATCCCGTGTAAAATATCGGATATAAAAACATCAAAAGAGAGAAACAAGTGATATTTTTATTTGTTTTAAGATATTCCTTTTATTTTTTAGTGCTCAATTCTCGACTCCATTCCCGTTCGCCGGAGCTCGTAAATCTGGTGTGCTACAGATTTAGAGACGTTTGCCGTTGTATCTTTGGGGAAGTTACGCCTGAACCGTTAGCTGACACACGGGGCGTATTCTTCTTGCGGAAAGAGTTTTACTCGCCTCGTTCGTAGGATTCCCGTGTAATTTTGACACCAAATATCCAACAATCGCAAGAAGAATATCAATCATCCTACTGAACTGATGGCATCCACAGGAGCAGGTTCCAGCTCTCAGCATCCGATCAATCATGTACCTGCTGTCCATGTTCCTACAGCTGAAAAGCCCGAAAAATTCAACGGGCTTGACTTTAAGAGGTGGCAACAAAAGATGCATTTTTACCAGACCACTTTGGGTTTGGTGAAATACCTGAAGGACGACCCTCCGGTCATTTCTGAGAATGAGACCAATGCAGAACTACGCGCTGCGTACGATGCTTGGGGGCAAGGTGACTACCTTTGCCGTAACT